GATCTGGATCGTTCCGGTTACATAGACCAATCTGTCGTGGGAAAGGGAGCTTTACCCGTCGAGGTGGTGCTTGGGCGGCATGTGATTGCAGCCTTTAACCATATAGCCGCGGTCTGAGATATCTGAATTGAATGTATCTATTTGCTGCTGACGACCCTACTGGCGCTGCAAAATTTTCCACTGACCAAACGTTTGATTTGCACGTTCCTAACAGGGTATCGCTGTCGCCATTGATGTCTTTCAAGATCTATGCATTGTCGAGTAGTGGTGATTTTTCTTCGTCCAGGAGTTCTAGCTCTATATTCTTGATTATTGTGCAATGTATAGCCGTGGACTTTGCGCTAGAAATGTTAAAGTTTTTGACAGGGAAGGAATTAGAATTATCGATGTCGTAGTTAATTTTTTCCTCTTATTATTATTTGACGCCAGTCATTTCTCTTCAGTGCCAGAAACATCGGGCTCTACATAGTTAGTTATTTCACCTGTGTTCAATTTGACGCAGCTTGAAATTAACAATTCGGAATTCAACTGACGATTAACGTCCACGAAGATAGTTGCTTATTTACCTTCGCCCGACATGGAAGCGACTAATACCGTCCCATCACAAGTATGGTGATAGCGTCCATTTATTTGGTGACACTGTGTTTTTTTTTTTGCGGAATAGTTGCTGATTTCCGGCTAGTTTGAGATGCTTAATCACGCTGAGATGATGGCATCTAATGCGCAGGTGTGATGTGATATTTTCAGCACTGTGGATCGAAAGCTTGGACGATTTGGTACTGGTCTTCCCGGGTCGTGGAAGCAATTTGTAGCCTGGTCTGCACTTTTTTCCTCACTAAATATTATAACCGCATAGTCGTTGTATTTCGACGGGTGGGATAGTATGTGGGCTCCAAAATTGAGATAGTTAAATATTGCACAAAATCTGGTAAAACGGATTAGAATACAATCGCTAGTATGAAGTCTAGCAAATGGAGCGGCAGTTTCGTATAATAGTTAATAGTATTGGCCGGGCTATATAATTCTATTATCTAATGAGTTATGTCAATGAACTTCTATAATATGTACATATTACATTATAATTCATATCGTCTGACAGCAGCATTGTACTAGATACGTCTGAAACATATTTGCATTTAATTGGCAGCGAATGCTATAGTAAATAATAGACTTTGAGCCTTTATGTTTGGATATATTAATGCGGGTCAATGCTAAATACCTTGTGCTACTTGTTGACAGACCAGTGCAAATGCAATGTACTATATATTGCAAAAGCCTATACATGTTTGCATGCCTTATACGGTAGACAAACGGGCTCGATTATTTGCATAACCAGCCTTAATTTGCTTTAACTCATGCATTTTCCTCTTTAAAATGAGCATAAGCTGCCAAACAAATGCACGAAATTTTTGGGAATTAACTCGGATCCGGGGAATTTTCGATGACAACACTGGTAAAAACGGGTAGCTGCCCGGTTCGATACTCGGTTGGAGGGATTGCAACAAATTTTTTGTTTTTATTATTTATTTTATATTTTTCTTTTATTTTATTTATATATTTAATTTTACTTTATTTTATTTTCATTTGCCTTATTTTATATCACATTTCTTATTTTACTATTAGTTAATTTTAATTTTTAGAGATGAATTTTGTTAAAAATTCAACAACTAACTGAAAGTAACGTAAAAAAATATAGAACTTATAAAAAAAGAATGAAAAAGAATAAAAAAAGTATACTGGCCGTGGGACTCGAACCCACGATCTTGCGGCTGGTTTATTCGCATTACTGCCGTCTGTAGGGGTAAAATTTTAATTTGCATTTATGCTTATTAATTCAAATTAATTTTCTCCGTCTGTCTACCATATTAGGTATAAATTTTTGTAATTGACGTCACATTTACGATGACTGTCCAGATACCTATAATTATAATAACAACAAAAGAGAAATGAGGTCATGAGTTTAGGGAATACTAGTAGATGCAGTGCATGGTATTTACATAGTACTTATGTAAGTAGGTCATGCGATAAGGTGGCCCTTTCCTCTAAAAGAGACAACTGGAATACTATGAAAAACTATACAATTTGCAAATCAAATTAGAATTTGCCTTTAATTGACTGATAGCTTGACTTCCGTTATATAGAGCATTTTACTGTCTTCTCTATGTAGGTTAGTAGGTATGTATATATAGATGTGTTTAGTTAACTACTTATGTAGGTGACCTGTTGCACTTTTTGCATTTACAACAATAAATATTCTGCATCTTTGTAATTTACTGCCTATTCGCCATTTGCCTAGACTATGACGTCATGGTGAAAATTTGCCCACGTAAATGTAGTTGTATTTTAAGAATCGTCACTTGGAAACATGTGTATGCCCATGCGTACAAGTCGACGTAAGCGAAGTGAAGTGCGTCATTGACTTTTGAGTGGGATGTCGCTAAAAGGAGGGTGTTGTGCAAAGTTCCGACAAGCAAATGTTTTCAGTTCGATATTTCCTAATTGCTGTAAGGATTTAATAACAATTTTAAATGTGAATAAATAAATGTACATACATATATATTTACCAAGTGATAGCAGCTACATATGTACATAGGATAGTAGTATTCGCGAAAGCAAAACCTTTTGATAATAAACATTAAAATAGTAATAAAAACCAGTCGGTAGAACAATAATATCTTGGCATCTTGTAGGTGGCTAGAATGGCGGGCAAGTAACAATGTCAAAAGTAACAGCCGATTTCTCAGTGGATGTTTAATTATAATCAGAAGATGATCTCTTCTCGTCAGTTTCTCAGTGTACTTACTTGCGTGACGACGCATGCGAGAAACCGCACCTGTAGACCGCAAAAAGTACGAAGCATGCTTTCTCTCGCATACCGAGCGGTATGCGAGCTCTCGCTTGCTTTCAACTGTCATTTTTGTTGTTTGACAGCTATGTTCTCATTTCGCAGAATTCTTCAGAGTAGCAACATCGTTTATTTTGGAGGCAAATACAAATTTAGAGGCAGCCATTTTTCATTTGAGAATAGTATACATCTCTTTATGCAGATTGTCTAATCTTCTCAAACTTTTAAGTGCCTGCAAGGCTTGAACCTTCTTGTTTGGCGACATTTTACAAATGAAAAAGTATGCTGTCAAATGCCCAGTCAACAAAACTGTATCTCGCTTGCGAGAGAAAAAAGCAGAACGCAAGCGAGATTTTCAAGCATGTGAAGACGGCCGGTAAGCGAGAGACAAAACTTGGGTAAAATTTTCTTTTAGCTACTTAAGCAACCCTGTTGGTAGCTGATAAGAAACATTTGATTAGTTAAACGGGATTTAGATACAAAAACCAATTTAAATGAGTAATTATGCGAGGTATTAGCGTAATATACATATATACTTATGTAAAATATAAGTCACGTATATAAGGAAACAAAAATTACCCTCTCCACTTTCTCATTAACAATTCACAATAGAGCAGTTTTTTCACTTACCAACAGCACGCGTATTTTTTAACCGACCTGGCGGAGCTCGGATAAATAGCCGAGTTTGTGTTGTGGCTTTGCGTGTATTTCGTCATTTAAACGAGTGTTCTTTTGTAGCTCAGTTGCAAAAGAATACACCTATTATGTATGGAGTATAGTAATTTTAAATAGATGGCAACCCTACTCAAATAGTTGGCAACCCTTTTGTACATGCGAAGGCCGTGCACTTATTTTTGGTATCGCCTCATGTAAACACCGTATTATATGCCAATATCGCATGCGACACTCGTGCGTCCAATTTTTGCATTAAATACAAAATATAGCAGCGAACACAAATGGCATGCGATTTGCTTGCAAGTGGGAGTGAGCAACTTGCACAATACACACATTTCCACGCTGATGATACTGCGGAAAGAGCGAGCAGGCAATATTTCACACAGCGAACGCCACCCAAATTTCTCTAAAATTGAAATATTTTGCTAATCTGAAACATTAAATATGTATATGTACATAATTTTAGAATTCAAAAGGCCGTGATTTTATACACACCACCACTATTATTTAATGTTTTATTTAATTAATTTTAATATCTAATGAGATTAGCATTTACTTACCACAATAGCCATACACATTTGCGTCCGTCTAACCAGAATGGACGTTTAATTTATGAAAATTTGATGTCGAAGACGCACCAAATATTATTTTCTTTTATTTTAAGGTCAATACAATTGTTATAAACGTACAATTTTGCACGCTACACTTGTTTAATTACAAACACTTGCTTGACTTAAATTGTACTGAATGTAATATATGCATTAGCAATGATTTGCTTCACACTGGTTTTCAACTCGGCTTTTTTTGTAAAAATTAGTTCAAATTTCAACACAGTTCATAAAAACGCTTTCTTTCATGAACAAAATGCCTTTATTAGTCACTGCAAAAATTTGCTATCGCTGAGACACTGCTCTCGACTATACGGGTGTATAACCTCAATTTTCAGGACCGCAGTGATGCAGAAAATTGAGCAAAAAGTAAAATACCGTAGTAACAAATGACTTGCCGTATATAAATTCTGATCAAAACGCAGGACAACACTTTGAAACGCTTGAAAATTTCACTCTAAATATTTAAAATCAAACACTGGTTTGGACTACTGTTTGATAACCACGGATTTAAAAACGCGTTTCAACAAACTCTTGCGAATTTTCCCAAAGTACTAAATTTTCTTAATTTAACATGGAAGGAAAAGCCCGTTTCTCAATTTGTGTGTAGAAAGAACCCACGTATTTGTACTCGTGAATGCGCATTGGTTTACTCGCTCGCTCTACCCGAAAGCGGGTTAGGGGTGATAATTTTTTATAGAAACACAGCCACGCAGCTGATTTTTGACGAACCCAATTATTGGATGCGGTGAACGTACCCGTTGGGTTGATTTTTGACAGCTCCTTTTATTGGATGCATTGAACGCACCCGGTGGGTGTGCTGGGCGGTATTGCCAACTACAGCTTATAATCAAAATATATTAAATAAATTAATATGTTTGCTGTACATATATTTAATAACTTTTGATATTAAAATTTGAGTGTGAAATAATGCAATATTCCTCATTATATGCTAATATGTGATTGAAAGAAAAACACAGTTGTGGAGGCAAGTTTTCCCTTGAGCTCATGGAACATAGCTTATGCTAAGATCATCTGTAGAAGGAAACACATCTGATATATATTTAACACGCTTCCATTTATTCTATTTACATTTGTTGTCGGCTGGATTAACGGTATAGTTTGTGATTTCACAAAAAAATATTTTGTTTATTTATCTGTTTTAGATTAATAAAATGTTGGCATCAGTAAAACATTTACTTGCACAAAAACGTATAGTATTGGCAAGCAGCTCACCACGTCGCCAAGAACTTATCAAATCAATAGTGAGTAGATTGGAGTTTAGTTTTCTAAATAATATGAACTCAACTATAATGTATTTTACTAAACAGGGAGTCGACATTGAATTATGTCCATCTAATTTCGAAGAAAACTTGGATTACCGCGACTTCAAGGAGTTCTCACAATTTGTCGAGGCTACAGCGGCTGGCAAAGCTGAGGAGGTATATCAACGTCTACATGCCGCAGATCCGACAGCCGATTTATTGGTTATTGGCGCTGACACAATGGTCACGCTGGGCAGTGACGTTTATGGGAAACCAAAAGATGCAGCCGATGCGGTGCGCATGTTGACCAAGTAAGTAAGGAAAGGGTAATCCAGAATTTCATTGGCAAAAGCGGTTCTAGTAGTAATTCGTTTATAAAGTTAGATAGGTTTGTGGTTTCTACACTCCCATATATGCATTTATCCAATTTAAATATACCTCATTGGCTCATGGGACACGTGTAATAAAACACTATTTAAATTAATTAAACATTAACATACATATTTGAAATGCCGTGCTGAATATTCACATGCAATATGAATAATATTCCATAATTTTTTTTTTTATTCCAGTCTCTCTGGCAAATGCAATCGTACACATACAGGGATTGTGATTAGACACGATAAAGGTATACGCCAGTTCACTGAGACCACTGATGTATATTTCGGTGATTTGAGCAATGCGCAAATACAAGATTATGTAAAAAGCGGAGAGCCACTGTAAGTTTATTGTATTATAAAGTATTTGAAAAAACAATAATTTCGTTCAAACAATTTCAGCGACAAAGCAGGCGCCTATGGTATACAAGGAATTGGCGGTTCTTTAATTTCCAAAATTAATGGCGACTACTATTGTGTAATGGGTTTACCACTACATCGCTTGTGCAAGGAGTTGTGCGCTTTGTTGGAGGACCCAAATTCGCCTGAGAATGGATGTCCTGCAGAAAAGAAAACCAGAATTGAAGAAAATGTTAGTGATTGATCTAAGCAACATCATTTAAAGAACCAAAGCAATTATGAGGCTTTTAGTTATTCTTATATAAATACTTATATTAGGTTCTGATATGCCAAATTTAAGCAATCAAATGTGAAAAGACAAACCCGCAGCAGATTTTTAGACAGACAATACACTACTTAAATCAAATTGACCTATTAGCATGATAAGCATGATCGATGAATATGATTTAATAGAATTGAGGTGGTTTTAAAGAATTTTTACTTTTAATAAGCTATTATCTAGAATTATTTTTCTGAGTTGATGATTATTTGAATTCTTATTTTTATTTCCTTCAAGTTATTTTAAGTACATATAGTTTTTGAAACTACAAAACCAAGCCGTTTCAGAACGACCACTATGTGTTGTAGCCATATATGTAATACCCCTATATTGGTAGTAAGCATTCCGAAATCAAACGGATGGTACTAGCTCATACTGCCAATATAGGAGTATTACATATGTATATGGTTGGAGCAATCAGCGCAGCTCCCGAAAAAATTTATAATTTTTAGCGTGTTTTGACAACCTTTGAAATAAAAATTATTTTTATTTAGATAATACTTTTAGATGTTTTAGTATGCCTGTGAAAATATTAATTAGATTACTCCAAATACATGCAGTATCACATAACAAGTATTTAAGTTGAAGCTTTGATTTGCAGCTTCCAGCCATCGAGCAGCCTTATCATTAAAATTTATAGGTATGTATATCGTTACATCTTTATTTCTTTATAGGGTTTGCTTAAAACTATACAAATTAAAGCTCTTCAGTTTCGAATTTCTTCAAAACGCTGGTTGTGAAAATCACTTGGATGTTGTAGTTCAGTGCTGCTCAAAATTTTTATATTGAAAGTGAAATCACAATACAAGGCGAATTAATATATCATGTAAATTTTTGTTTTTGTACTCTTGCTATCACCTTATATTAATTCGCCTTGTCACAATACATCTACAAAATTTATGTGTACACTGAGATTTTTTTTTTTGTAATTTAAATTAAGCTAGAAAGTGCAAGTTTATTTTTATTGTGCGATCAGTGAATGAAAATTGTTAGCAATGGGAGTCTTTACATACATATTTGTGAAAAATACAGTTAAGAAATGATAGCGACCTAGTGGATGAAAAGTCCCAAAATTTAGTGGGAGGCATCCTTGCACATATTCACAACATATTACAATCTCAAATTTTACATTTTCATTCGTATCATTGGGATACTACTCGCATATAAAAGTCCCATTTTAAAGCGTTAATAAATGATAGCACCATTGAAACAATATGCAATAAAATTTAAGGAGGGCACCTTAAATCAAGGGTGGTCAGAAGATAAGAGTTTCTCAAACATTAATTTATAATTTTATTGGCACATTTGTTGGCATTTTACGTTAAAATCGCGAAATAATTTTTTCTACAATCCGACGTTGGAAGAATATCTGCAATCCTATCAATTTTACGCGGTGTGATGCTCCCAGGGATATGCATTGAATTCAGATTGGAAATCAATCATTTTCTATATCCTCTTTGAAAATTTCCAAAATATTTTGATGGCAAGTTGCAAAATGGCGTTGCAAGTAATATTTCGTCATTCGTTTAATAATGACAAAGCACAACATACACTAGGTACGCTTTGCACTCAAAATTCCAAAAAAAAGATCTCGCGCTTCCACACGCCATGTGTTTTTTTTTTAATAAATTTCGTTTTCATTTTCAGTAAATACGAATATTATATCAATTTATAATATACATTTTTTTCAGTGCTGNTGACAACGTAATGTGTCTTCGGAGGTGTTCATTTTGCCCTTTACTAGTAGATAACATTAGCCATGATGACAATTTTGGTACTAAAAACTGAAAGAAAACATGGCTTACCTCGCAAGGTGCTTACCTTTTTTCCCAGTGGGTATAGATGATATAATAGCTCTGATCCAATACTTTTCGTGTAAAATCCTGGAAGAAGGTCAAACAGCAAAATCACTCTCTGAAGTGAGAGTAAAAAGTGAGTAACAGCAAAACGTATGGAACAAAAAAGCATCGGATAACATCCTGCAACATGAACTGCATTTACATGAACCACAGATTATATTTCGAAAAGAAAAACTAAAATTAGGAATATATACAAATATAAATGCTCAAACTATAAGCTCAAAAACAATAACTGATGCGGTGTTTCCAAGATATTTTAACGCCCTTGAGTAACAAGTATATACAGGTATATTTTATCAATCATACCGATAATTTCATGTATTAAAAGAATTAAAAATGAAAATGAATAAAAAAAATTAAATCAGCAAAATGAATAAAATTAAGTGAAATTAATGTTTAATTTCTAACCTAACCTAAAGTAAACAAATATTGACGCTAGTAAGGAAAATAGGTTTGTAAAGGTATTTTTAATAAAATATTCAGTTAAAATATATTTAAATGGCATAATATGTGTTGCAGAAAAAAGTGACCACGGTGGCACAGAGAGGAAGTTTATCTTTTCCTCGAGTTGTGTGAATAACAAGCACAACCAATTGGACAGCTAACGAGCTTTGATTGAGATTATATTTATATGCAAACGTACTTTTATGCTTTGCCGTTCGCATATGTTTACACATCAAATTTCATGAGTACCTAGTACTCACGCCTTTTTTTTATTATTTTTTCATTCTATAATTGTTTGTGTAAATTTATACATTTTACTGGAGTTCCTTAAGGGCCATTCACATACAACTCTCCTCGCTTTGCTTGACAGTTCAAACTTAGACAACAAAGCGCGAAACGCAGAAGGTATGCTACAATAAACGCTTTGACAGCTTTTGCGTTCTCCTTTTCCTCCATATTTTTTATCTGTAAAATAGATAACAATATAATAATATGCATTAATAATAGCAATAAAAATTCCTATTTACTCTATTTTTGTCATTAAATGCAAATGCAACCGCACAAGAAAAGACAAATGTAGACAGCTGATTGCCAAAGCGGGCAAAAGTTGAGAGTTGGCCAAAATTTTGCTTCGTTTTGCTTTGCTTTGCTTCAAACGTTTTTTATGTGAGCATACTCATGCATATGCCTACATCGATCTTATAACTATGTCAAAGCAAACAACTATCAAGCAAAGCGAAGAAAGTTGTATGTGAATCAGCCTTTAGCTTCATAAGCGAGGGCGTTTGCTTTGCCCTTCCATATGAAACTCAGGCACTTTCATATGAATTGTGTTTATATGTCAGGGCATACGGGAGGGCGATACATTTTTTTTTTTATATTTAAAGAGTAAATTTGTATATGGGCCTATACTTCAGGGCAAAACAAAAACAAATGTGCTACAAGTGCTTATGGAGTGAGCAGCACTGTTGTAGTTATTTTGAAATGCTAATTAGTTAAAATTAGTTAGAGCTTTTCTATATTAGGGTGATGACGTTCCCACTACAATAACGGGAATCATTTCCCAAAAACTTTGGGGACTTTTATCCTGTTACAACAACTACTTTTAGAAGACACTTAAAATAGTACCAACCGCAATAAGATCATTTAGCAGACGAAATTGAGAGCAAAATTGAATGGTCGTTGTTGTGATAGCATCTTATCGCCAGGAACTTGTGTTGCGACCCGAACAGCGGCAAGCACAACAGGAGCCCGGCAGGTAAAATTACTTATTTCGCACCTCTCGAATCGCGAGCAGCCTTTAAAGGCAAACGACTGAAAGACTAAGCCCACCGTCAACGAACTAATTGGGCCTTATCAGTGTGGCTTCAGTCCAGGTAAATCCACCGAATATCAGGTATTCGCCCGACGCCAAATCTTCGAAAATACTAGTGAGAAATGGAGCGACACCTACCATCTATATGTCGACAAAGCCCCTTTCGACAGCACTAAAAGAAGTTGCCTATGCGGCGCGATGACAGAATTTGGTATCCCCGTGAAACAGATACTGCTGTGTAAAATGACGTTGAGCAATACCACCAACTCCATCAGAATTGGGAGAGACTTATCCGAGCTGTTTGCTACCAAACGGAGTTTCAGATAGAACGACTTCCTTTTATCTGATTTCTTGAATCCGATGTAGGAGAAGATAATAAGAGCCGCAGAACGGAACCGCTCAAGAACAATTTACTACAAGAGCGTGCAATTTCTGGCGTATGCCGATGACATCGACAACATCGGTAACAAAAACTGCGAAGTCTGCTCTCTCTTTCCAAATTAGATAAGGAAGTAAAGCGAATAGGTCTGGTGGTAAACGAGGACAAGACGAAGTATCTCCTGTCAACAAATAAACAGTCGGCACATTCACGCCTTGGCACACACGTGAAGCCTTACCGGCTTTAGGAATAAACACAATAGAGACAGATCTCCACGCTATCGGTATTTAATATCGTTTTACACAGGCCATGAAGATGTTCACTAGCCAACTTAGAAAGGTTTCAAGCGTCGCAGCCAATTGCGCGGGTATAATCCCATCGGCCCCGCCGCTTTATAAGTCTGAAAGTTTTGTATCGCCGAAGCAATCCTCTCCATTGTGACCGGCAAATTTACTACCCCGCCCGAAGGAAGGGAAATGTGTGTCCAAGAGCAGTTCCACCGTTTTCATTCCCGGGTTCGGGGATTGCGACAGTATTTTTCTTAATCTGTCAGTATCGGAAGTAAACTCGACGCCGCTACAGAAATCCCTCCAGGAAAACCTTTTAATTACCCTTAAATCCTTCTTGTACTCGCGCAAAAACTGCTCATATTTTTGGCACTCAGATTCGTGACTCAGCCTACTTGCCTTGTTGGAGTTTATGCTGCAGGTTTTGCGTAGTGAGTCCAACTCCCGAGACCGCCAGTGGGGTTTGCGCTAGCCCCTGGGTTTAGAGCCTCTAAGTCAGTCCGAGTAAAAAAGTTAACCATATCCCCCAACTCACCAGTGGTAGTGGGCTCACTACATATTTAGGTGCTGGATATGGTAACTTACCCGTATTTCTTAGGTACTCTTAGGTATGTAGCCGATACAACAACAACAACAACAACAAAATACTGCTGTGGATGCCATGTCTGTCTGTATGTATATATGTAGACATGAAACATTTTTTTTCTTACAAGTTACAAGCTTTGTATTGTTGAGCGATTTTCTGTCACCCATTGTCAAATTTGGTTTGGAGACGAACTGGTTTCGGGATTGTGCCATCTTCGGTGTCATTTTTCGTTTCGTACATGCT